ATATATAACCGGTATATGCCAAATAAACTAAAATTGTACATGTGTGAGTAACTGTATATAGGCCTATTCATAGGACAAACTCTATGATATTGCAGTATTTGAAAATTTTCCCTCTAAAGATACTTATACGACAGACAGAGATGAGATATCGTTGCAAGGACTGCGTGTACACTTTTATAATGATTGTTAAGGTCATTAGGGTTGATTATCATTGCGATAAATGACGAATTTTCTTAGAATCTGAACTGATTATTGAGCCTGACTGAGAGTTTAAGATTCCGGAAACAGTCGGAGAGCATATAGCATAGTTAACGTCATAAGTTGACGTCATAACTGATTCCAATCCTGAATAAGTACATGGGCTATGCTGTGTCCCATTCTGTGATTGGTCGTGATGTAGGCGTGGCCTCATTTGCATATACACGCGCAATGTCAGGCGGCCTATTTAACAGTACATAGGAGCGCCAAGATGATGACGTCAGACAGGAGGAAAGAAATTTAACAATGATGGTATTTATAAGCCTATAATACGCCAGCAGCTAGGTAACGTTAAGGCATGCGTTTTTAAGGTAATGAATGTATTAAACCTATATGGAACCAGGTAACGTTACCGAATGCGTTTTTTAGTAAATGCCTCGGACGGCTGCACACGGCAGGAGGTTAAAATTTTGCATTATGAAGAGCAGCTATACTATTAATACACACCATTCGTTTTCTGATACGAGTCTGACCTGAAATGAGATCTAGATTATAATGAGTGACTAGCAGCATGGAACAGTATTATACATTCATCATCACTACTGACGAAGTGAATTAAGCATTGCAATCGATTTTAACACAGTATCAGTCGATTTCAGTAGCATCCAGTTCTTCTTTACATCCAAATAAAATATCCGTCATAAGGCCAAAAATATAGTCATGGTTGACCTCTGAACTACAGTGTCCCTGTTGCCATCGTACACTGTACGTCCGCCGTTGGATTTAAATCTATACTGATCCTATATCGCAGGTATTAGTCTTCCGTTGGCTTAATGGATACGATTAGCAGTGCGTTAGATACAAGAAAAAAAGCAAGTAAGATATGCTGGTAAAAATGGCGATCTTCGAAAAATGGCTTAAACTAAATATGTTACTCTTTAATTAGATGACACAAATAAAATATAATATAGCGTAACAAAAATAGCAACATGAAACATGTCAATTTAATTCGATGCTTTGTTATCAACCAATTCATTCAGAATTACAAAATATGATTTTCATTTGTTTTATAAATTATATCATTCAAAAATTATATATATATTTATATATATATATATATATTTATAAGCCTATGTGGTATCAAGCCAAGTTTTAAGACATGCCTATTGCATGTTTTGAGTGGAATATGCCTAATAAAATACATACAAATAGTGTTTGTGTTGTATACTCTCAATTTCAACAATACTCAACGGTGGACACCAGCATCATTGATATGCTTATTATAATAGTGTAATTAAACTACAGAACGCATATTGTATACAGTGATAACATCGTGACAAGACTTTTAACTGAACTGTAGGCCTAAATCTGTTAGGCATATACGAAGATATAAAACTGCAGAGTTCTGCATATTTTCTGGAAGTATTCGAAAGCATTATGGCATTTACTGTTGGCAAAAGCGATATTAGATATTAGGCCTACACCCTCAGATAATGAAAACGGACGCAATGTGTCTCTTATTTTAATTCAGCCTAAAAAAAAAAAAAAATAATAATAATAATAATAATAATATCCAGATTTGTCACTCCAAATCCGAACCAAGCTCAGCCGTTTCCAAAAGCCCAATGTGTTCAACTCCACGTTGGTTAGACGAGTTTGCGAGTTCTTGGTATTGAATAGGCATACCGCTTTTTTGTTGGTGACCCATACATATCATACATTTGCGAACGATGTGGTAAATAATTGTCAACACGCCCATACTAACAAGAACATGCCAAGTAAAAGCAGTAGTAAGAAACATTAAGTTTTCATGGTCATCCGGTGACCATTTCTTGCCAGACGGAGGCTGATATAACACAGTACCTATCATCCAAAACCACGTTCCCTGCACCATAGTAAATAATATCCTAGTCAGACGATAAATTGGTTCGTCTGGGAAACGAAACTCCAGGAAAGCCAAAATACAACAACCAAATGCAGCCAGAACAAGCAACATATGAATATGGATGTCTAGATCATCATGACCATGAACATGATAGTAAAAAAGCAAGCCCTCAATTCCAAATGCTAATGAAAGAAAGACAGTTGAATACTTCAATAATTTCGGTACGTACGCTTGTCCGATTATTTTAATCATCCCGTACAAACCGAAGTACACATACATTGTACAATGTTGCCAAACGTTCATATGGACAAAGTCACCGGTTACCGCGTCGAACAATCTCCACTTCGGAGCAGGGTGCATATTTTCGCCAAAAACTCCAACCAGTGCGACAACAACAATACTGATCCCTTCGACTGGTTTTTGGCTCAAATATCGAATAAGACGGCACTGTGCCTGATGATTATCCCGATATTTATGATACGACAACTGTATCATCCACCATATGGCACCGGTTATAAAAAATGTTCCGGGAGCTGTGTGTCCCAGCCATGATCCCATCTCGTTCCGCTAGGCCTCACTTAGTATACGATGCGAGATTTTCACGGCGTCTGACTTCAGTTTAGTAGCTCTTCTCAACTGTAATCCTCGCTTACTGTCTATGGGTAGAATATGTTTATAGTTGAAACGATCGTACGCATGAATAGGTGAAATGTAATGACAGTAAACTTACAACCGAGAAACAATTAGTAAGCTCTCGACAGATCCGAACTACAACTTACGGTTCAGTAGTTCTGTCTGACGATTGGTTAATCGTTTATTCAACTCCCGCAAGCGGTCAAACACGCAAGAGTAATAGAGTACATCGTATTCACTTTCAGGATACGCAAAATTTCATTTACAATGTGATGTGTTTATGGACTCATAATAGTCATATATATATATATATATATATATATATATAAAAATAAACTAAGCATCCACTGGAAAAAACCCCAATATCTGCAGACGGATCCGTCTGCATTATGTGGCCGTTTGCTGTTTTTATGGGTTTTCCTATTTGCCTATGTAAATTGTGTAGTAGTGTATGGTACCTTTTGGTATTGTCCGTAGGTAAAGTTGTGTTAAGTTTAATATTTTTTTCGTGGTCGGCAGATTCATCATAATTACCTAAGTGTCACTAATGCTTTATTCAGAGCATGCGCGTCATACACGAGCGGCCTCAAACGGATATGAATACACGACGCACAATATTGATGGTGATGTCATAGAAATGCATCTTGTTATTCTGAGGTCAACCAGTCATTAATGCCTTTTGCATCATTTCCTCACTGCCATCATAGTGCTTATTGTGGAAGGCAATCACCGCTAAAATACAAAAGTAAAATGAACAACGAACATTCACAAACGAACAACGCATATCACTGACAAAACAAACAACGGACTTTCTCAAACAAACAACAACGTACAAAATGGAACTTTAATGTCCTGCTACACAAATACATTAAATTGAATTTTACATTTTAATAATACTGCTGGTTGTGTCCCATACCGGATATGTCTCTTTCGTCTATCTCGCGAGTTGGCTGTCTACCAAATCCATATACACTATAATCAATCAATCAATTAATTCAATCAATCTATACGTTAATTGATCAGTCAGTCAATAAATCCAGCAATTTATAAATCATTGACCCAGTCAATAGAAGTATATATAAATCAATCAGAAATGAATAAATATATAAATCAAGAGAAATTTCTATAAAATTAGCATTTATTATCTCTTATACACATCTAGATGTGTATAAGAGACAGTATATAACCTATAAATATATATGTATATACATATATATGTATGTATATACATAGAGTGTATATATATGTATATATAGGCTATATATAAATATATATATTTATATATGTAATTATAACATTTATAAAATTATTTATAAAAAAAAGTATCTCTTCAGAAATTACGTCTTGTTGTCAAATTCTTTAGAAGAGGGTGTATCATTGATCTGGCTTATTTTCCATTCATCTAGGACAGTACTGCCCAACTACGTATGCACATGAATGTGAAGAATTGATGATTAATCAGATTTGTATTCCCAACAAAGCCTCAGTAACCCAATTGGTTAAGGCGTCTGCATAAACACCAGAAACTCCCGGGTTCAAATCCCGGTTGGGGAACCAATTTTTTTCATACTCGTAGCTATAAGAAAACAAAAATACAATTTTACAATGCTTCATTGGATTTGTTGTGATGTTTCGCAGTAGGAAGGCATTATTTGTTTATAAAAGAGCTCGTGTAATTAATTACACCTGCTTCGGAAGAAGCAAACTTATTCTCCAAGGAGAACTCCGTTGCAAGCAGTAACACTGTGAACGCAAAATGAGTTGATGATGCTGTGACGTGATGGGTGAGTGGAAAGTGCAGCATATAATAAGGAATGGCGAGTGTATGTTGGTTGTGGGATATAAGGTGATAAGCCTACGTTAGTCGATGATTAATTTAAAGTGACAACATGTTACGTACACATGTTTGCATGGTCGGTTCTCACCGTTAGATGAAATCAGTGTTGCTACGTACATATTCGAGCACAGTTTTATCTTTCAGACATCTCTGGATCCGCAACTGTGTAGTACAATTTCTAAAGCTCTGTCCACACTATCAAATTTTATGTGACAAAAAAAAGTGATATGCCCATATTTGGGTGTAATATGACATCATCATGGCCATTATATAGGCACGTCACACAAATTTGTAAAAACATTTGATTGTGGACGGGTCGTTAGATGTATAGTACACTCTTACAAATGTGCGACAGTCTATAGTGCTAACTATTTCATAATCGTATTTTTTATCTAATATTAGGAAGATTTCGCAACCTTACAAAACACGTCATCACCATTATCGTCATTCCCGGGGCGGATGCAGGAGGGGGAGGGGGTGCAGGCGGTGCGATCACACCCTCTCTAAATTGTATTAAAAAATAATTATTATTGTATTATATTGTTGATATGAATTACTGGTAAGATTTTTTTTAAAGGTATGAGAGTTCAATTTCCGAACTCCGAGCACCGACAGGTCCATATTCTGAAAATTTTCAGCCCCAACCATGGTGTTGCTGAGAAGGTGTGTACACTCACACACCCTCTACCGCCAAATCCTGGCCCCATTATTCGTGCCGCAAACTCTGTACGAGCTGAATTTTATCCTTGATTCATGCAAAAGGCATGACAGATATGCTGCTGTATGGGAAAGGTTGTCTAAAAATTTGATGACGTAACCGTATTCGTTATCGTTTTCGTTAGCGTTCGAAAACTTCCTATTGCTTCAGGTCATTTCGAATGCAAAATGTATCATCTGGTAAAGTATTTACATTTTTACGCTACGCTTTTAAACTACAGTGGTTATAAATACTTTATAGGCCTACAGTATTACAAGACATTCGGAACGGTAGTCCAATCAGGGATATGTAAAAAATAATTTAATATACTTTCTACATCCCCCTGGTCCAATCAGATACACAGCAGATTTTATACTTGAAGGGCAAGATATTTCTTTTTTTGTTTCTACGTGTTAGAGATTGGCAGCAATATTCACCCATTTAGCTCTCTATCGAATGAGGGCAGCATTAACCATGAAGCGAAACCAGAAGCGAGTTGCTGGAGATTATTTCATACATTTTTTTTAAATTATAAATGTAGCGCTGCATCTGTAACAGATGTAAATGGGGTTAACATCACTGTAATGGCTAAATCTTTGCAATCGCGTTTATATCCTTGCATATTACTTAATAGATCTGACCTTCATCTCCGAAATTGACTGCGAATCCTGGCTTAAAAATAAAATTCTAGTGCACGGTAAAACATAAATGAATAAGTGGATACTACTTTTTTACGGCGCTCTCCGAAGCACTCAAGTAGGCTTTGATATTATAGATTGTGCCATTTTCTGTCGATGTATGAGTGGATAGGCCTAACTGTTTTTATTATTCGTTTCTGCGGTGAAATCATTATGATGTCAAGAAAATGGGGAAGGAGATAAATGATGCTGTTCTCTGTTGATGTGTAGTTGGCTACTGCAAGACTTTCGCGGCCTAAGTAGCCTACCGTACGTACAGGCCAAAATATATATAAATAGGTCAACATACTGTAAAACCTCTATCGAATATAAGCCCGATGTGCTTAATTTCGAGAAGAAACCTATCTCGAATTGAAGCCTCCTCTTTAATTTGCAAAAGTAGCCTCGAAAAAAAGCCCAGGGGCTTCTTTTCAAGAAGCCCAGGGGCTTCTTTTCAAGATAGCATTTTTTCGATATAGTACATTACATACGGTATACTGTACAGCAACATTCCGCAAACTTTTTACTTCACGGCCTATTTACGATTCCAGGCACCAAGCCGCGGCCCAGCAGCCAGCCGCGCCAAGGATCAACATACCAAATCTTAGCAAGAACTTTTGATCATGAAGCCTCCATGTATATACAATATTTCTACATCATTATATGTTCTCTCGGTGATAACATTTTATTGTATACAAATTAAATATTATTTTATTAAATAAATAATACCGTACGTTTGTGTCCCCCCCCCCCTGACAATTGTTGATTGTTTTTTCTTTCTACCATGATTCAACCAAACACGGTTCAGCCACACACGTCATAGCAGGGCTGTAGCCACGAGAAGTGAAATGGTCAGGTTGCGAGCGAAGCGCGAGCACTGATGATTGGGGCTAGGGGCCGCCAAGGGCCCCAGGTCGGGGTTCAGGGTTCCGGGGGCATTAAACTGTAATATTATTGTAAACCAATAAACTGTAATATTATTGCATTAAGCCATTAAACTGTAATATTATTAACTAAGACCAATCAACACATTAAATGATGTACATATCAAAATGATTATGTTTAATCTTTCCTCGTCGGTGCTTGCATAAAACGTGATTTGGATCTCATGATAATATTGATAAACAATCGAAATTCTCTGTACAATACCGTATTATGCTAAACATTTACAGAGTGGTCTTCCTTATGTTGTGGTCATATTAGGGTCAGGCTCACTATAATCGTGCAAACCCGGTCGCCCATGGTTCACCAACTTGGAATGACAAAATATGATAATAATGTGGAAAGTGTTACCAAAATTCAAAAAGCCATAATATATCATAAAAGTGTATAAAATTTCATGGAGTTTTGATAACTAAAGAGTTAGGACGATATTTATAGTCATGAGTATGCAAAATTCGTCTGTCGCCAGATAAAATACCTTCTTAGGATATATGCCATTCAAAAAATGCTGTGTACCACAAGGCTTATATTTACCGATTTGTTAGCTGGTTGGAAGGTTGTCAATTTTTACCTTAAGTTTTGTAGTATGGTTATGGTAAAGTTTAACCGTGTCGCCAAATGCACGTAATTTACGTTACATAATCATATTTGCCAGGAAAAACATATTACGGTATTATTGCAGCAATACTTCAAGGTAATAGTTGATATTTGCATAGTATAAGATGTTATGAATATTGTATTGTTTATTTGGATAAATACAATAGTCTTCTATGCAAAATATGGTCCTAAACTTGAAATTTTGATTGTCGCTTTTAAGCAGTGAAACATACGTTACATGAATACACCAGTTCAAGAATTTGAACCAAACTAAACGTGAGAAGTAGTTAAGTAATAATCATGGATACTGCGTCAGTAAATAAACGTGAGAAGTAGTTAAGTATTAATCATGGATACTGCGTCAGTAAATTATTATTTGTGTT